CCTACTATTTAGGGAGTCTCAGAAAAGTGGGGGGGTTACCTTATTTTGGGGGTCCTTATAATACGGATCCTACTATTTAGGGTGCTACAGAAAATTGGGGGGTTACCTCATTCTGGGGGTCCTTATAATAGGCATCCTACTATTTAGGGTGCTATATTGGGGTCCCCTATTTTCGGAAACCCCCACTTGTCTTCAGAGCTTGTGAGCTTGAGGGCCCAATTGAGGGCTTCGGGTAGAGATAGTGACAGATAGTGATACCATTATTGAACTTGGGGCTAGTATCGATACAGACCTTGCCAGGCTTGTCCGAGTGTGAGTGTCAACACAGTTGTTGTACCTCATCGTACTTCCAGTGCGTCTTTTGCAAAACTGGGAAGCTCCGGCATTCCTCGCGCAGTACAGCCGTCATGCCCAGGCGAACCCTTTTGCGTCACAGCTGCGTCCTCCTACTGCGGTGGGAGCTGCCCCTGTGCCAGGGCGTTGGGCTCGAATCTCCGGGCCGCCGGGCCAGATGACACGGACCATTGGGGGATGTTGAAGGTAATTTGTAGGATCTACGGGATTTAGAACTCCATGCGCTTGTAAGGCTGTTTTGGGCTTTGGGGCTTCACTTCGTAATTTCTTGCCACCCGTCTCCGCTGCTGCAGAGGCTGACAAGAAGGGCCGACCTCAACGGTTCCGAGGCCTCCCACCCATCGGGATTGAGGGTTTATAGGGTGCAGGGTCCTTAATGTGCGCTGCAGCCCCTGCTCAAAAAAGGGTGTAGGGTCCAGGAGTCATTCTGGCTGAGAAACAGCAGACTGCTCAAATGTGACTAGAGCATCTTGGAAGAAGAAACAAAATGCTCGAATGGTATAAGAACGGTTGAGAAAAGGCCGCGAACAGCTCGAAAGGAACTAGAGCATTTGAGACAAAAAGGAGTCAAACTCATTGAAAGGGATTTTCGCATTTGAGAAAAAGGAAAACTGCTCGAAAGGGATTAGAGCCGCATCTTACAACCAGGAGCAAACCGCTCGAAAGGTTCCAGGGGATTTGGGCAACAAGCAGCAGCTAAAGTATCTGGTTGAGGATTGATCCTTCCGATTCAGCTGTGGCACTCCTCGGTCTTTGTTTCAGCAACGGAGTAATGGGAAGTTGGGTCTTCCAGCTGCATGTGAAAACCTACTTCGAACATTCAGCAGGAAGCCGCAGACATGCTGCCCGCCACTGCGGGCTTTTTCACATCCCTTTGCCAGCCCGCAACATTGGAACCCCCTCTCATGCGACTGGGACGTGTCCTGGCAGAACCCAGCATCGAAGAAGCCCTGCCAGGCCCTCCTTGCAGAGGAACGCGATGATGGCCGATGGCGGGTCTCCACGTCCAGCGGAGACCTTGCGGTGCGGCAGGAGAACCTCGCCACTTGTCGGAAAAAGCAGCACCTCGCTGTTGTATGCATGATTCGCTCACTCGTGTTCCAATTTCCTAGTGACAGATGTGTGATGTGAGTGAGTTCGCTTGGTCTTGGTGGTGATATGTGAAGATGCATCGGCAAAGATGCAGGCACTCGTAGAAAAAGTATTGAGGATAGATGCGCCTGTGGCTTAGGATCACTGGCTGGCCAACGCCCCCGTCAATCACCCAACTCCTACTCCCATTTCGATGCCATTTCCAAGCCGGACCCCCGCACGTGACCTCTTAAGGCCACTGCGTGGCCCCAAATTTTGCCAGAGTTGCCAGCCCTCTCATTGGACAAAATGAGTCTGCTTGTGCCTGTGAATGCAAAGCTCCGGTTTCGAAAGTGCTTGTACAGGTCCCGTATATTTTTGAGACCTAGAAACGGACCCTGCGTAGTTTTGACAAACTACCCAATTCTGTTCCTGTCTTCAGCACGAATCGCCCAGACCACTTGCGATGCTTGGATTGCTAACTGCTAACAGTCAGTGTCGCATCTTCTGTCGGTTCAGTTTCGAGTACCGTTTTGGCTGAGCCATTTCAGTACATTCCGCTTTCCGGTGGTGCCTTACAAGGTCAGTCTCCTCTCTGACTTCAGCGGTTGATTCCCGATATCGGATATCGTCCGTCTGCAGCGGCCCCCGAAAGGTCAAAGTTGCAAAGTGCAAATTCATCCTTTTTTTTGGCAGCTGCTTCTGCCAGCGCTGCTGGCACGACGACGCCGGCGCTAAACGAACATGACGACGACGAGGGCGACTGCCGGACGTGCGATACAGTAGCTGCATTGGCCGTTGTCCTCGTGGTGAAAGTGCCCTCGTAGCTTCCCTGCAGTGCGAAGAGGGGAGCCGAGAGCCTTGAATCTGAGGACTTTAGGAGGGAATATAGCCAGGTAGTCTCCATGTTAACCCCAATAACCTACAAGGGTCCCTATTAAGGGTCTCTCCTAAAGCCCTTAGATAAAAGCCGTGGAAGGAAGTCTTCGTGGAAGAGCCCTGGCCACCTACACCGAGCCCAGGCCAAGCTCGGTTTAGGGTGTGGGTTCCTTCCAGTCGAGTCCGACGACAGCACATTGCACATGATATTCAAACAGACTGAAACAGACTGGATCACGAAAAGCCGAAAAGAGGAGGTGCTGAGCTTTTTGCAAGCGGGAATGCTTGGAATGGCAACAGCAGAGGGACCAGCCCATTAACACAGCACGAGAAACTTCGCACCGACGCAGACAACAGGTTAGTCCCTCACAGTAACTGTAGTATACTGAGTGCCGAAAAAATTGTAGTATAATAGGACTAATTGTCGCCATTTCCCGCTGCAGGCCTTTCCGCTGCGGAGTGGAAGGCCATCTGCAATGCTCCGTCGCTGTCCACTGCCACCATTGGCGGCACCAACGCGTCCCGCAGAAGCCAGGAGATCAGGTTGCAAAGGGATACTCGCACCGGGCAAGAAGCCACGACTTCGAACATCAGGGCTGTCTGATTGCGACAGAAATGTCTGACATATGAGACCGAGAAATGGGTCTGAACTCGATGTCCGGGTTCAGACAAGCATGAAGACACACATCAGCAGCTTACTCCGCTGAAAGGTTTGTCTGAACTGCAGACTCCACTCTTCAAGCGCATGGTCAGAGCTCAGCGAATTTGGAAACAGACCTTGTCGGCTCTGCCGAGGTTCTGGCTGGGGATTCAGCCGTGCGGCCAGAGCCAGAAAATGTGCCCGCACTGCGCAGGGTAGATGTACTTCCTGGGATGCTCTAGACATCCCAGGACAGCCCGCGTTTTTGTGCCACTCTGCCCGATCCGTTCATTTCATGCGATTATTAGCATCAGCAGCTCTTGCAGGGATCCCGGGGAAAGACCCTCTTGGAGGACATGCGCGACAACAGTCCTTCCAAGAGCCTTGGTTATGAGCCAGAGACACCTTGCAGTTTTCCCGTTTACCATCCCAGTGATTTCGTCAGCCCTTGTGTCCGAGGAATGGTGTCTCCTTCTCCTCCTTCACTGCCCCGTACAGTGCTAGGGACCGGGCTTTTGGCGTCACTGGAAGGGTTAAAAAATAAACTCCAAGCCCAAGCTTGATGCACGAGAGCCCGAAGAGCAGGGAGACATACTTCAGCCTCTTCAAGCCTTGTTTGCTTTGCAGGACAGCTACGCCGGCATGAGCGACCAGGCTCGGTGGGAAAGAGCAAGCCTGTGCGTCTCCGGCGGTGATCTGAAGATCCACAAAGACGGCCCACGAAGTTTTGTTACATGGAGTTTAACATAGTTTAACAGATCACTTTGTTGAAGCCCTGACGCCTGTCTTCCCTTCAACCGACATACAGAATTTGCGCGAACAGCATGCTTACCAGGGCATCAAACAAAGGACATCTGAGACTTATGCCCAGACTGATGTCACATGTGTCTTGTGGGCTTCACCAGGCCATGTCATCTGGCAGCGGCCTTCTAACAGCAAGATCGCTTGCCACAACAGCCGCTGGCACGTGGAAGCCTTAGATTTGCGTCCATCCTTTCCACATCTCTGCCGAGCATTCACCCGCATGAAGCGGGCGGGATCGTGCCAGGAGCAATCCGGAATTCGAAGTGCAGATAGATCGTGTCTGGCTCTCGGCAGGGCTCGTTTCGCGGAAAATGAGTCAAAACTAGAAAAGCCGGCCAGGCGAGCAGCAAGTGTAGACTTTCGGGCTGTGTGAAGTTTCAAGCTCAGCGACCCTGCAGGCGCCCGGCTCATCACTGGGCCTCAACTTGGACGCTTTGGACGGGCAGTCGCTTATAATCAGCGCCGTCAAGGCCATCCTGTATGCAGAAGCCGTCTGTAGCTCTGTCTCTTCCACAGTCGCTGGCTGCTGTCACCTTAAGTTTCATCATGTTGCATCCACGTGGGCTGCCGTATATCGAACTGCAGCCGGAACTGCCATCGTGCAGTGCTGTCGTCGCCAGGCAGGCCCCATTCGCCAGAAGCCAAGTTGCTGCACAACACCACTGCTGTGAGTAGTTAGTTGTCGAAAGTCAGAGTGCGGAGGGGTGCGGAGCTACGGTCCTGACCACCCCCCTTGGCCCTTGGATCCATGCCGTCGCGGCTAGCAGGGGTCATCCTGAATCTGGCTCCTGCAGGACTGTCCGCAACAGTCGATCCGAAGCGCATGTAAGCCGAGGTGCTTATAATGAGGCGCAAGAAGACGAAGACCTCATGCTTCAGCAACATGCTCAGAGTGGAAAGGTCTTCCTGTACGCTTTCCATGAACATGCCCTCGGTTCGCTCGAGCGTGGGTGTGTCGGCTCAATTTGGTGCTTTAGCTTTGCACCGCTACATGCAGTGCTGGGAGAAGGCATCTTCAGATATTTGCTGTTCGAAGCGAGTCTTGCCTGCTGAGGCTTCGGTAACTTCGGTAGTAGCAGTGTAGTAGCATTAGCTGACCCTGGCCATTCAGCTACGCCGAACATCATGGACTCCTCTGCCATGAGCATTGCTGTTATCATCCCGGCGATGAATGAGGAGCTTGCCCCCTTGTAGCAACGACTTGGAGAGACGGTTTAGGGTTTAGGGGTTTAGGGTCCTTTGAGATAGTTTTGCTTACTGACATTGCTACGACTGAACTAGTGAGTCGCGAATGTTCGATCCTTTATAGTAGCCACGAGTGCTGCTGGAGGGTTTACGCGCTGTCTTGTGGAGTTTCCCGGCTGCTTGCAAGAGTCCAAAAGGGTTTAGGCTTTAGTCTGCAGGAGAAGGCCTTGCCCGCAACGTTGAGAACAGTGTTCAGCCAGGACGGGGATGGCCTTGACAGTCTTTGGGCGTTCCTGACAGTTGCGGCCTCTGTTGTGCCACCCACCCGGTGCCCTGATGAGACTTGTCTCCGTGCATCCATAGTACCAGTTCCCGAGCCCTGCATCGAGGGTTTGTCACAGGAGCCACCTCCCAGTGAGGTTGTGGTCGTAGATCCTGGCTCGGTCGTTCCTCGGCACGAAAGGGAGGAAATGCGAGCAGGAAGACAAGAAGGGGCTTCTCTGGGTGTGAATTATCCTCGACAGTAGTTGGGCTTAGGAGGCGTAGTTGGAGGTGGATTTCCGTTTTTGCGGCCATGGCAAGCACTTGAAGACTGATTTGGAGTTAGCTTCCAGGCACGGGCGCGGCTGTGCAGTTCAGAATCCTGTCGTCACGGAGTTTCGAGTGAGTCCCAGGGTTTTATTGCCACAACGGCTTGATGGACACGCAACGATAGCCCGCCGTTATAACACTCCGTCTGTCTGCAGAGGTTGATGGTAATTCGCTATGTTTCCTCCTGCATCACTGCTTTGTCTGTTCTACTACTCACTCCAGTTCAGCCAAGCTGTGGAAGTCGGAAGGCCTTAAGCCTTCACAGGCTCGCAGCTAGTTGGTTTAGGGTTTAGGGTTTAGGGTTGATTAGTTATGTCCTCAAGATCTCTTTCACTGAGCGCATTTGCCCATCCTCGATGTCGTCGCGGCGTAGTCTGACCTTCCGACCGGAGCAGCTCCCCTGATGCCGACTGCGCTAGGCCGCAGGCTTGCATGGGGTATCGGCATCGGGCCATTTTACATACTCTTGGAGTCCAGGTAAGGCAGATCGTCACTGGCATTGGCATGGTGCCAGCCCACACTACTCAGGACCGGACCGCGGACGTTGCACGAAGCTGTGGAGCTTCAGTGCTTACCTCGCCGCGGGGCCGGTCCCTTCAGATGAACGTTGGGGCAAAGAGCACCAAGGCGGGTTCTGGAGCTTTGGGCCTCTGATTACTTGTTTCAGGTAGCAGTTCATGAGGGCTTTGCCGCACCTTTGCATTTTGTTGACCAAAAAGAGCCCGAAAGTCTGGATGCTGGATAAGCCCCGCTAAATCAAACTTACAACTTACCAAACTTCTGTTTGATTTTCAGAGGAAGCAGGCTTTTTAGTTAAATTGAATTGAAACCTGCACCTATGAGGGTTTGTCAGGGCTGCTGCAAGACTTATCGCAGTTCATCCAGTATTCCTACCAATAAACCACTCTTGTTGTTGTCCTTGCCACTTGCAGTGCTGGCTATTCTGGTGATAATGTTCTCCGGCAGATGCGTTCCGATCCCCATGAGAGGGCATGTCGGAGCTAGTTCATTAAGGCCCAATCGAACCGTCTCTGTGCTGGTTCCCCGGGCTCAAGGGACTCCGGCAGTAAGATCAGTATCCCACAAACACCTATAGAGTTAGAGAAAATTGGACTTCGAAGGAACAGGCCGGTGAGCCCTCGCCATGAAGGCGAAGCCGAAGCCAAAGGCCAAGAAGGAGAATGAGAAAGACGCCAAGGAGGTCAGGGCCAAGGCCAAGGCCAAGCCCAAAGCCAAGGCCGAAGCGGAGCCGGAACAGAAAGAGCCCTTGGAGCTTTCGGATTCTGCGATCCCTCTGAAAGAGAGCAGCGGCTCTGCTCCGGCTGGGTCAGGTGCCGCAGCCGCACGGGCGGCCCGTGCAGAGGCGCAGAAGGAGTCGCCGCCCAGCCCGAAGCCCGAGGAGGAGGGTCCCCGGGAGGATGCGGAGCCCAAGGCAGAAACCACGGCTCCTGATCAGAAACCAGAAGCCAAAGAGCCTGAGCCGGTGAAGATCCACCTATCCGTGCCAGACCCTTGGGCAGAGGTCAGCGATGACCTTGCCCTGACGCGGATAAAGGAGGAGGAGTGGGAGGTTATCGAGGCTTCCTCGGAACCTTCTGCACCCAGCCATCTGGCTGCCAAAGATGCCGAACTTGATAGGCTGCAACTGAGCGATGGGCAGCGGAAGCAGCTCGTCGCGGCTGATGTGTCCGAGAACCAGCTTGCCTCGGCACAGGCTTTAGGAGGCCCACTGTGGCTAAGGTACCTGAATATCAGCACGAATCCCATCACGTCGCTTGACGGGCTGGCAGAGCTTTTTCCAAGGCTCCTTGTCCTGGACCTGAGCTTCGTGGAGCTTTCCGAGGTTCTCGGTGTTTGGAGGGCCCTGGCGGAACTGCCCCGGCTGCGGAAGCTGCAAGCGGAGGGCTGTGGCGTCGCCAGCTTTGAAGATCTGGAGAAGATGAGCGAGCTTCGCACACTGGAGCTCAATGACAACGCACTCGAAGACCTTACAGAGTTGGACACCTTGGCTGCGAAGTGCCCGAACCTTCTGGAGCTCGACCTGCGTGAGAACGACGTCGCCTCGGAGCCAGGATATGCAAAGAAGGTGAAGAAGCTTTGGCCCAAGCTCACTTGGTTCGACAACCAGTCCTTAAAAAAGTATGTGGCGGCTGGCGCGGCTGCTGTTTACGATGCTGAAGTGATGCGTGAGAAGGATGTAGCTGCGGTTGACGGCATGTTCAAGAACGAGTCCTGCTCATGCCTCGAAGGCAATCCATGTGTGGATCCAGCTACCTGCAAGGATTGGCCAAACAGGGAAAAGGTCGCCGCAGCAGCCAGAAAGAAGAAAGGTCTAAGGGATGACACAGGCAAGATCCTATGACCTGGCACGATCTCCGCGGCCCCAGTCGAGCTCCGGGCTGAGTCCTTGAGTTGAGTGCTTCAGGCGTCCAGGGTGTGTAGACTGTAGACTAGTCACCCGTTTCACCGATTTCCGCAGCCCAAGGTTCCTGGAAGAAAGACTTAAACTTTCATCTTAGGCTTTGCTTGATCAAAGCAAAGTGCTTCAATGCCCAAGGGCGATAGTGACTACATGGCCTTTGCATCACGGCTGGGGTCAGTCGTGCCGATTGACTCTGAGGCATTGCAAATTTGACAACTCACGCCCTGGCCTGTGGCAGCAGGGGCCCTGTGCCTTTTTCGGGGTCGGCTGGTGCTTGGACCACTCATTGTCATTGTATACTATCACCGCTCCGTGATCGCATTCAGTTTGAATCTGGGCCTTCGACGTCCTGGAGCCGATGTTGCAGCCAGCACTCCTGCATTGCAGGTCCGAGCGTAGCACCGCGGAGGAGAAACGAGACAGCATTCTGCTTCTGTGTCGCGAGCGGTTATGAGCACAGCACTTGGGCATGTACTGGTAGTGCGCAGGGCTACAGTATGGGATTGCACCGCCCGCGCAGGTCCAGATAGGTTTCGACTCCTTAACAGCAACTTTACAGCAAAAAACTCGTGCCCTGCTCGAAGGTGCTCTGCCGGGCTCCAACAGTGCTCAGATAGCCAAACGAAAGCACCCAAAGCCAAAAACCGAAGCCCTGGTCTGGGAGGCACCCGTCCTCCTCTTCCTGCATGCCGACACTCACTTGCCACCTGGGGCCCTAGCAGAGCTCCAGGCACCAGGGCTTCTCGGGTAGGTGCGAGTGGGGACCCGGAGTGGGCTGAACAGGAATTGCTTCTGTGCTCTACTTTGCTCTTATCTGGCAGCCCGCAGTGTGAGATGCTGCAACCCTGTGAGCAGATGATGTTTGGTATCTTCACGACCAGATCCTGTCATGTGTCTGTGTTTCGAAAAGAGACCTTAGTCTTATTCTTGGCAGGTAGCACTCTGCGATCCGGACGTCCAGGGTGGGTGCTTCGAGCTACGGTTTGACGAGGAGGCCGACAACGCAACCTTGCGACTTTGGAGCTGGATGGCTGAAGATGGCTGAAGTTCTGTTTCAGAGTTGCTGATTTGTTCGCCTCTTGCTTCTCTTCCACTGTCGGAGGAACATGGGAGTCTCCGAAAACAAGGGGTACCTCATTTTGGGCTCCTTATACTAAGGATCCTACTATTTAGGGTGCTACATTAGAGTCCCCTATTCCGGACACCCCCACATATGTCAATTTTAGGCGTCAGCATCTGGCAGTCGTGCACAGGACATCTACTGTTGGCTTCCTGAGACGCACAAAAGTAGGGGGCCAAACGCATGGAATCCATGCAGAATCCATGCGTACGCCGCATGAGGCAAAGATGAAGGGTGGCAAGTTTTCGGCTATAACGCTGAGACATGTGAGGTTGCAGACACGTTCCTTCCGGCCCTGCCGAAAAGAGGGTGGCAGCCAAGGTTGGTTTACCAGAACGGGCTGCTGCCGCACACCGCGCCTGGTCTTCGGCGATCGGGGCATCTTCGTGCGGCGGAAAGCGTTTGAACAGCTGACGGGCTACAGGCTTGGGCTGGGTCCACCCACTTTGATTTCTGTGGTTTCAAATTACGGGATAAGAATTGAATGCTTCGGCCCCTTGCATGACATCTAGAGATAATGTCTTGATGAAGCCCTGAACCTCCAACCTCGGCACTTCTGTTTAATTATTGAAAGCTCAACAGGCCCCAGGGGCCAGGGCCTGACCGGTCAGGGGCGGGAAGCTCGGATTTGGCATCCTGAGGTTTCTGGCTTTAGCACTACACTACACCCGAAGAATGTATCGGAGCCAGGGAAGGAGGGCCTTTCTTGTGGTCATCTGTGAGCTACCACGCATCACGGAAACCTCGGCACATCAGGCTTTGTGCTCCATGTTCCCCGCTAGTTGCACTCGGGACAAGCAATCCGAACTTACACTGAGAATCGCTTGACCACAGCTACGCCTAATGCCCGACTAAGAGCATCATGGACTGTTTTCCTGTTCTGACGGAGAGATTCGTGTCCCAGTCATATCCTCTCCACAAGTGGTGGAGTTTGGCCCCAAGCTCGGCCGAACCGGAGCCCAAAAGCTCTCGCCACGCGTCCGTCATCCCGAGAGTGCGATTTCATGCTCTGGAAATCAACCCAAATCAATCAGGGGTATAGTCGAAGTTGGTCTTTTCAGAGATGCTTCTTTGTGCGGCTTACTTTGTCTAGTGTGTTCCGTTGACGTAGATGGGTTGGATGGCCTGCATTGTCCGAGTCGCGAGAGTGCAAAGCGCCTAAGTCCGTAAACTTATAGAAGTACGCGGCAGAATATCGGGGCCTTGTAATTAACCCAAGTTGTTGACGTTACACGTCTTTAGCATATGATGATTCTAGTATCGTCATAGTTTATTAGATTGGGGCCATCATGGGACCCTGTAGCACAGATGCTCGGATCTTTCATCTCTTGCACGGCAGGGAGTGGCCGCTTCTGGAGGATGTAGACTTTGCCGGTGCCCGAGACGTCCGACGCAGGTTCCTGTGTTTCTGCTCTTTTATGCCAGGTGCGATGTACGGGGTTAAGGGTTTAGGGGATTAGCGGCAGGACCTTTCAAAAGCGCCTTAGTTGAGGTTCGTGTTTCCACGACAAAGCAGTAGTCTCGGAACATTCGAACTTCGTGTCAACCTTCACAGAGTCTCGCTACTTGTGGCTGCGGCCGGAGATAATATAAGAGGCCTTACTAATTACCAATACTATTTCGGGGGTTCCCTTATCATAAATGTAGTATAATGGGCCCCACAAAAACCTTATTCTAGTCATTAATGCCCCTATACTAGACTGGTAGACTTTCAGTCCATCCAAGGCCGTTGGGTTCATGTTTCCCAGTCGAAGCTTCGTTCCAGTCACATGCTGAAGATTGAACCCAGCATATGATCAAGGCGATGCGCCTGGCAAAGCTCAACCGGAGAGCTTTCCACTTCCTTCCGGCTGCCGTGACAACATCAGCGAGACGAATGCTGGAGATGGGGCCACTGAAGCAGCAACTGCTGATCCTGAGCTGCATGGAGCAAAGCCATCGGAGTTTTCCTTCCCTCCTGCGAACTCACAACACATGATGACCAAACTAACATGTTTCAAAGAAGCCTTGACGCATCCGCGCCTTATGCTACCCCTAGGGCTGCTCACATGACATGAGCAGTCGCTGAACAGTCGCTCCAGGAACACGTGCATCATCATTGCCTGGTACCTGGGCGCCAGCCCTGCCCGCATGCGAGACTGGTACCGGTACTATGCTGCAGCTCCACCTCCCCGTCCTTGACGTGGGTAGTTTTGCATGTCCAGGACATTCGTGCCTGCTCAAAAAAGAACATCATTCAACATAGAACTACGCAAGACTACCCACGAACGGACGGGATGCCGTGTCAGAAAAGTGCCTCGTGCTATTGTCTCGCAAGAGTGGCTGCTGAAACAGAGTCGCCCACAAAGTTTGAAGAAGACACCTCAACTATTCGGTCTCCTGCCCAGGCATGGGGACAGCATCGTAGAGGTGAACGGAGCTAGAGGCAGTTCTCAGGCCGCGCGAGGGGTGAACACTGGTGCCCAATACTGAAACAGTGCTATCCAGTCATTATCACGTCCAACTTGTGTGCTGCTGTACCCATGACACTGCATTGGCAAGCTGTCCGTGTCACGAGTTGGGCTTGTTTCGTTTGGATTTGCACCCCTGGTATCAGGCACTGCTGGAACGGCTGAAGGCGGACACTGCAGCGCCCACAGCTGCCCGAAGGCTTCTGCGCGACCGCAGCTGCATTTTGCACCAGGTCTTGGTGCTTTACATCAAGCGCCCGGTCGCTGGGGCCCCGATCTGATAGATGGAAACTGCGGGCAAGCCCTTACCGGGCTGGGTCGCTTCATCTCCGGCGTTGTCCTGCCAACGTGACTTTGAGAGCAGCTTCGCTTCGTCATGCTGTCACAGCTGCTATTGTGCAATGCCTTGCTGCGGCAGAGTCTCCTGACTGATCTGAAAGGCCTTCACCATCAGCATTGCGAGAGCATATGCTCCGTCTGCCGCCCAGCGAGCCAAGTGCGGCTTCGTGGTATTTCGGCGCATTCACCCTAAATCCGCACCGCCTCACATGGTGTTGTGTGAGATAGTGTGAGAATCCAAGCCTTCAAATGCTTTAAGACATCTAAATGCCCCAAACCCGCCAGACAACCCTGAAGCCCTAATTCTGGCCCGGTTACGCTCTTGTTGGCTGGAAGGCAAAAGGCAGAGAGCACCACTAGGGTCTGGTGTCACGGTGTTGGGGGTACAGAAACAGAGCATAAAGCATTTTGTTCTATATAATAGCAGAATAGTAGAATAGTATCCCAGTATCATAGTATCATTATATATCTGTATAATAGTGTAAAGGAGCAGTATTGCCAATTTGCAAGACCCGTACTGTAGCGGCGTCTGGACCAAGGCTCGGCTTGCAGGTCGAGCATGCACCAAACGGTGCGGACCTCATTCGTATACCGATACTACATATCACACACACAGACACACACACACACACACATATATATATATATATATATATACATACATATTTATATGTATATACATGTATACGGCCGTCCATACATGCATACACGCGCACGCACACATGCATACATACATGCATGCATACACAGATGTGTTCACCTGCTCTTTGCATATATATATATACACACACACACACATATATATATATATATATAGACATGTACATGCTGCACGTACACGCACACACACACACAGACATATATATATATATATGTATATGTGTGTGTGTGAAAAATATGTATATATATATATATGCACATAGAGAGAAGGAGGCATGCATTGTACGTACTGGGCCCAACCTGCCTCTCCTGTCTACTTGTACCTACATTTAGGAAGATGAAGCTCCTTGACCCAAAAAGGTAATGCACGAGAGAAAGATCCACCCAAGGCAGAAGACAAGCTGAAGTATCATCGTTGCTGCAACTTATTGCTTTCTATCGATCTCTCTCCTCTCTCCTGACTAGGTTCAGCTTATGCTCCTCTTGTACATCTCTGGAACTTGTTCTTTTAAACCACAGATCCATGGCACAAGTTCGGTTGGCCAAGGGACCAGCCTTTTAGTGAAGACCGCGGGGACCCAAGGCTGATGCAAAGAGCCCCTCCTGGAAGCTGGTGGGGGATTCTGAGGGGTTCCTTTGCTTTAAAAATATAAATACTGGGCTGCCTTCTGGCTGCACTGAATGTGTCCTGGTGTGCACAGGCGTCAGCACCCGGTCCAACTGTGGCAGATGTTGAATGACCCAAGCAAATTCAGAGTCCCAGAGGCCAGCATCAGTTCACGGCTTTAGACTCGGAGCTTTTGTTATCTTGTTAGGAGCAGCCAGTCTCACTTCTCCAGGGAAACCTGTAAGTTTTCCAGCCGAGCCGTAGCAACGCGAAGACGCATGTCAAGCCACTTGAAGATAACGCTAACCCTACACTCGCAACTTGCAGCAGGGGCAGTTCAAGGATTTGTTGTCGTTGGAACAAGAAGTGCCCGAGCTGTTCATTACGGGGTTCCATGTTGGCAGACGCTCGTCTTGCTCATTGATGAGTTCCAGTTCCTTACATTCGGTGTTTCTGCTCCTTCCATTCAGCCTTGATGTCCTGAAGTCCTATAACCTATACTCAAAACGGATTGGGCCAGAATGGCTTATTGCAGCTCTTCCTCCATACGTAGAATTGTTATTGGGAGCCTCAGGCATTTGCTACGCAACATGTGGTATTCCAACCTCGGCAGTCTTGAATAGTGTCATCGGAATCAGTTCTCCTTCTGCTTCCGTTGCCTCCGTCCTTCTAGAGATGCGTCTTCTAGACCTTGCTTGAGACCAAGTGAAGTTTGGAACTTTGGAGCGGGAGGCAGTTGCAAAATTCAATGCAGAAGTGCGTTTCGGTGCCGGCGGTGCGAGCTCTCAAGGTGCCACTAGACTTAGTTGAAGTCCGTCGTGCCCTTGGAGCTATGGAGGCTGAGATCGACACCATGGAGTCACCGGGCGCTCATATCTTCGTAGAGCCCACGGCTTCGATCGAGTGTGCCTAGGTTCTGGTTACGGAATTGAAGCTACGGGAACAAGGAAACCATGTTAGTTACTGTAGGTTCCCAAGATGGCAACACAAATCAGTTGTATTCCATAACAAGAGCTGAGGTGTGGACCAATCGATCGAAGCGAAGCTTGACACCTTGATTAGACTTTGTCGAGGCCAAGGCAAAGAACTGCAGCAGCTACGGCTTCGTTTGGCTGGTGTGGAAGAGAAGCTTCAGGCCGCACTTCAGCCTGAAGCACCAGCACCCGCTTCTTCCTCGTTCATCTCGAGAGTCTCGAAGTCCCCCAAGCTGCGGGTTAACTCAATGGTATCAAGGGCGTCTCGGGGTGTGTCGGATTTCAGCAACATCGACGAGATGTTGGAGCAGAGAGTCATGAAAGCAGCAAGGAAAAATCGGGATGATCCTACCCACAGCAAATCCGCTTTCAAGAGAAGCGGCACCTATCATGTGGGATCATCGCATGCGGTTGCTGTGATTCGCTCGTCACGTTCCAAACAATCGCTGAAGTTCGAGGAGAACCCGAGCCCGGTTGGCAAGAGAGCGTCTGGTGGAGTCCAGGTTGTTCCGATTCCAACAAGTCCACGGTCGTCGCTGCCCAAAGCTTCTCCCAAAGAGCACTGCACTTCCCTGAGCAATGTTTTCCAAAGTCGCGAGGCCCAGCTAAGTCTTGCATCCCCCAAGAGCGCAGCCACCGGCAGCGGCTTGGCCGAGCCCACTGTCTCCGAAGAGCCAGCAGAGCCCACTGTCTGCCGTGCCTCAGCTAAGAGGGCCTTGGCCGGGTACTCGCAGTACTCGCGGTTTGTTTGGAACAGTTTCAAATACATACAGACAGACATGCATACAGACAGACATATATATATATATATAGATGCAAGTACTTATGGATGCTATTGTAGAGCTGAAATCTACTGGATATGCGTCTGCAAATGTATGTATGATTATGTATGTATGACTGTAAGTGTGTCTACGTACATATGCGACGTGTACATTCTGCGATATATAAGACTGAACAATATGTAGCATGCAAAGTTTCATGTTAAGTCGTATATGTCACACATACATGTATACAAAACGTGTACTAATGTAAGATATTCTGTGATGCATAATGTGTAATGTAGAGTTTGCAGTATTTGATACACACTCTTAAATAATAAGATACAGCACATAACGCGTACTGTGTAAGGTGTGAATACCTTAACACAACAAATCACAATACGTGTGTGTATACATGTGTATGTTTATTGCCAGGTATGGTAGATGTAATGGATACCATAGATATAGTGAATATAGATGAGGTTCGTTAAAGGTCAATATCCAAACTTACGAAGCATGTATACATACGTTTGTTCTGCGATATTATGGAATATTGAATATACAGCGCACAGAAACAAACATCGCAGCAGTTATAACCTGTTGCAGTTTGTAGTATAGACTGCTAGATCAATATACCATACATATGTATGTAACATATCTATGTGTATATATATATATATATATGTATATATTATATATACAGGTATAGTGCAATAAATACTGTTTGTATAGTTTACGTACATACAAGCATACATGCCCACAATCCTCAGCATCTACGTACCTACCTACCTGCCTACCTGCCTCCTGTACCTGCCTGCCTGCCTGCCTGCCTGCCTGCCTACCTGCCTACCTACCTACCTACCTACCTACCTACCTACCTACCTACCTACCTGCATACCTACTTATGTACGTATGCACGGGCGTGCATGCATGCATGCATGCATGCATGCATGCATGCATACATGCAGGCATTGAGGCACCCGTGCAAACATGCATACATGCATACATGCATACATACATACGTACATACACTTGTAAGCATTTGTATGTATGTGTGTACATACACACTCACACACACACACACACACATATATATATATATACACATCTCCTAAGTATCATTCCGCAGCTCCAGATATTTCGCGACAAGGTGAGAGTTGCATTTCCTGCTGGCTGGCCTGCTGCGATGCCTGGACACGCTTGTGCGGCCTCACGCCCTTGGTTCAGCGATGGATCGAGAACCCCGAAGAGGAGTGCGAAGATTTGGATCCGAGCGTCATGCTGGTCTCGAAAGCATATCATTGCCTGGTGTTGAGCCTCAGCTGCGTGGGGGTTTGGATGAAAGCCACTACACTGAGCATCTGCAGCCCAAGCGGTCCATGTGCAAGCGGACCGCCGGCGACGGACTTGGCCATTGCCGTTGGTGCTGTAATGGCTGTCGGGTCCTGTGGTGGGTTCAAGAACTACTTCAAAGGTGCACAGATGCAGATTCAGATCGCGGAGCACCTGAAGGAGAGCATCCACTGCGCGGGCTTAGAGCAGCATTTGAGGACACAGAAGGTTACTGATGGCTTCGCCATGGTGCCTTGCCTCTGATATGACCCCGAACAGATGAAGCTGCCGAAGCTTAGGGGTTAGGGAAGCGAGATGCCCAGAAGGTTGAGGGTGGTCATCTCAGGTGCTGCTTTGGATGGCCGTTTTGGCCACGCGTCTTTGCTTCCACGGCTCTGAAGCGGAATGGGATGGTTCGCTGGTTCTGCAGGTCGTCCTTCATGCCTTTGCTTCCGCAGCGCTTTTAGGACAGTCGCGACTTCTCTATGTTGTGTGTTGCTGTAAGGCTTTCACTTCCTTTAACGGAATTTGAAGCCTTGGGCTTGCGCGCAGGAGCTTGCTATCTTCAGGTAACCTGCTGGCGTGGTGTGTCTCTGACCATCGTTGCCTTTGCCCGGTCCCTCCTGACTGGTATCGTCAGTGGCCAGGCCGCCCGAACAAGATGGCGAGAGATGACAAGCCCCGTGGCAGAAATTGGGTGTCTGTGCTTGTTTTGCACAGGGCAGGTTTCTGCAAAGAAGCGGGCGGGTCACGGCCCATCCCCCTCCTCGGGCCCCCCCCACACTTAGGTGGGAAGGGCCCCCCTCCACCCGAGGTCGTTCGAACTTGATCGTTGGAGAGTTTTGAAGTTTTTTTCAACGGTTTGAAGCTTGAAAGTCCCAAACTTTGAAGGTTTGAAGGGAGCTGGACTTCGAGAGCTTCGGCACCTGGGTACATCCGAGCGAAAGGCCGTGAACCTTCGATCTTTTCAATCTCGAGATTTCCCTCTCAAATTTTCAAGCTTTCGAGCCCGACTTGCTGCTTCGAACTGAATCTGCAAGCTGTATCTGCCGCCAAGTTCGATCGTCTCCCAAGATTGAAAGATTGAAATTCGAGAGGTCGAATAGTCGAAGGATTGAGAAGTTGAAGAAGTTGAAGGATTGAAAGTTCGAAGTTTTGCAGGTTGGAAAGTCTCGAGCTTGAACTCTTGGCTACAAATTCGGTTCGCGGCTTTCCGCTGGATAGATTGACGAAAGTTTCAACGCGTGAGAAGTTGGGAAATCCAGAGTCCTGAAGTTTGAGCGGCACCCTCCTGGAGTGTCCGAGTGTGAGTGCCGAAACCCTTTTCGAAACCCTATTTTGGAAGCTTGAGAAGTTGGAAGGCTCGAAACGCATCGACTTCGACATGAAAGTTCGAGAGTTTCAGATTTTATACGTGCAAGCTTGTGTTTGCACGCTGGAGAGATCGAAAAATAAACCTTTGAAGGTATGAGAGGTTGAAAGTTTGCGAGGCCGCAGCTAGTCCCATGTCTTAAAAACTCGGCCCCAATCAGGCGATGGCAGTTGATCCCATGTCTGTCCATATCTTGAACCCGTGACTTCATAGGGCAGGCCATGATGCACTAGCAGCGGTTGATGTCATGTATCGAACCATGTTGCTTGATCCCGTGTCTTGACCCCCCCCTCAGTTGGCGATTGCGGTTAATCTCATATCTCAAATTCCCCCCCTCATAAAGGCGAGTGTGGTTGATCCTATATCTTCAACCCGCCCCTCACGAGGCGAGTGCGGCTGATCTTAATCCCCATCATTAGCCGATTGCAGTTGAACCCTATCTGTCCATATCTTAAATCCGCCCCCTTATTAGGCAAGGGCGGCATGAGGCGATGGCCGTTAACGTCATGCCTCAAATCCGCCCCTCGTTAGACGATGGCGCTTGATCTCACATCTTCGACCCACCCTTCAGTTGTGGATTCGAGTCAGGTGCGCATATGTCGGCCGCAGATACACCCTCATCAAACCTGTGACCACCTGTGGCCGAATCCCACTGCACAACGCAGCATGAATCATTCACACCGGTATGAGAAACTGCACAAGCAGGGACACTTGGCTTGGGCAGGGTTTTTTTGATTTTGCACGCCTTGGCGAAGGTTGCATGCGCCAAGCTTCGCGCATGTACCAGCTCACCTCCGCAGCTTTGGCACTCACCACAGTCCTCGTATTCTTTGCTGCTCTTTACGACATGCACCAGGCGCACTCGGGATCAGGTTTCGAGGTAGACCGATTCTCGGGACTACAGTTTTAATTAGTCACAGTAGTACCCTAATACTACCCTATAAGCATACCCTACAGTGGTGCGCTATAATACCCCATAAAACAGAATATTACCCTATAAGGAACAAGAGGGTTTAGGGGTCAGGGTTTAGGTTTTATGCTGGCAGTCATCAAGTCCGGTTTCATAAAAAAGGTTTAGGCTTTAGGGAGAAGTGCCCGAGGTTGGGCTCACAGGAAGACGGCCTTCTCCCCCGCTTGCTGCCCCCTCAAAGCAATTGGAGCACATTTAGCTCGCCTGTGTTCCACATGCACCATCTCTTGGTGAACAGCTGTGTGTGTGTGTCTAGGATTTGTTCCACTCTTTCTGTGGGTTACGGGTCGTGGAAAGACAAGAGCATGCCAGTCCCTCCAGCCTTTAGGCCACTCCTCCAGTACTCATGAAGCTATCTTAGACCGGTTGCTCCATCATCGAGAGCTTTGCACACTTTCTCCCCTTGCTCTCAGGGTTCAAAGTTCATTGTGTTGCCGAATCTGGTGGTCGCAGCGAGCCTGCTCAGTTCGCTGCCTCTTGGGCCTAGTTTCAGTTCTTTGCGTTTGATTATTACAGGGTAGTTATTATAAGGTACTATTACAGGGTATCATTATAGGGTTCTACTAAAGGGTACTACTACTGTATATGCTTGTTTGCACGTTTGGGCATAGAGTACGACAAGTGATGGACGGAGCCCGTGCCTTAACCGAGGTATGTCGCAGCATCTGCGACAGCCCACTGCACGCGGCTTCCATCTTTGGTCAGCATGCTCGCTTCCTGGCAGCAGATTGGCAGACTGGCACTGAGCCCACCGGGCCCAACACCTGCCGACACCAGTATTGAGTATTCGTTTCTGGTAGGCGTCGGTTCTGCACAGCTAAGGATGACGACGACACTGAGGTAGAGCAGGGGTATATGAACTTGTCCTTGTTCCTGAGCCTTAGCGAGTCCGGTTTCTTCATGTGGGATACCCGCGTCACCCTGGGTGTCCTGCAGAAGTTTGTTTACTTCACCACTGCCATTGTTGGGAGCATTGGCTTCCAACTGAATGTTCTGCATTTTTGAGTCAGTCAGAGAATAGTCTGGAAAGGCGATCCGGGAAACCTGGTTCGAGCTGCTTTATGGCATTCCAATGATTTATGTCCCCTTTCAGATTTCCCCAATGAAATTCAAGTGGGTAAGAAGTGAAGTGACGATGTATACCCCACTCAGGCACCCTTCAACCGTGTAAAAAGGAAAAAACAAGAGGCTCGGGTCTTACTAAACGTGGCAAACTTTGATCACAAGATGCATCTTGCTGTTTTCATATCCGGCACTGCCCCGATCCCATACACAAGGTGTAGGAGCCGCGGTGTTTCATGAGTCAGTGTTACATGCATAGAGGGTTGGTGGGAGATGAGATGCGAAGAGAAGAGGCCAGTCAGATTCGCCCAATGTTTGAAGATGTCAATAGCTGCTTGTATAGATACTACATACCTCGTGCCCGTAAGTTGCTCCTGAAGGCCTCCGCAAATAAAGCCTGCGGAGGGGAAGGTGAGAAGGACACATCTTCCCTTCATACATTACATTGGCAATCGCCAAAGGCACGGGCGAGCACAACCGAGTCTATGAGAATGCATGAAAACCAATGCTCCTGGTGTGCAAGCAAAGGGTTACGTACATCTCTATGGCAATATCTGAATGGGGATGCGCAAGATCTTGGTGTTGATCCCAATCTTGCCAGCTGTCTCTTTCTCAACAGACAGTCTTTTTCGACCATGCCCGTGCAGACTAGGTGAGAACCGATGCGTCCGACGGTCTCCGGTCGCACCTGTCGGCCATGCCTCGGTACCTGGCAATTGCACGTGCAATTCCCGGCAGAACTGGGGCAGCCTTGAAGTGCGAAGCTACTTCGATATGCCGCGCTTCAAATTTGAACTCATCGTAACGTTGTGTGTTCTGTGACGTCCTGGAATACGTACATGCACATACAGGGAACAAGCATATCTGTCTGCGAGTTGAGCCATTGTGGATTACGGTGTACTGTGAGCCGGTGGGCCGTTGGAAAGAGTCTCACCCATTTGACGTTTCGTACGTGAGATTGGTCATTCCTCAACTTCAACAGCTGAACGACTCGGTTGCTGTCGGTTCCGGCGCAAGAGCAGGGTTTCGTGCCCACTTTGTAAGTCGGCTCCTGAGCAGTTCCGAGCACTGTTCCTGGCCAGGCAGTCCTGGGGGCTTGCTTGAAGCCTCTTCGGCTGTTACATGTCATGTCTCTTAATGCATCGTTCCCCCCTGTTCGAAGAATGGAAGCTGCAAAGCAGCTTCGAGGCTAAGCCACAGAAGAGTCTTAACGGAATGTGTTTGAAACAAGGACATCACGGTGACTGCCGGAGACAGGTCAACTTGAAAACAGCAGCACCACATGCTCCTGCGAGTAGGGAAATACAGTAGTCGAGGCTAGTATAATGTCTTCGAGTATCGCATGCACATAACTGTGCCAACGTTCTCAGGTCAACCCCGGCCTTATCAAGGACTGGAACCTATCACACAGAGGTTTGGAGCCAAAAGTGCCGCGTTCCACATTTCGTCATACTTCCATGGCTGCCGATCTGTCAGGCATGGGAATAAAGCGGCGCGACCGAGTCATCACCGTCAATGGCTCCCAGGGAAGTCTGGGTCTGAGAGTGTATGAGACTTCTGTGTTATTAACGACTTAGCCCTTAGCCAGATGTTCACAGAGACAGGCCCCTTCAGGCCCATGGCATACATAGCTCCGAAATACTCAGAGGCTGCAGGGATATAGGTATGTAGATGTTGCAAGGTGCGAACAGGACCACTTTTCCTACCATGCATCTGTCTAGTGATCTGCCGCGCGCCAAGACCCAGCGGAGCTGATGGCGAAGATGAAAATGGCTGCAGCCACGCACTTACTCAACAAGAAGGCAAGGCAGATATAGAGTATAGAGCAGCAGCAGCTGTCGAGAACTCTACCCTAAACCCCTAAACCCTATGGCGCGCCCCGTCGGCAACGTGCCGAGAAGTACTGACATAGCTCCAAGGTCCAAGGCGAAAGACTCGACATAGAGGTTTGCCGCTACTGATCCTCCAAGAGGCGGGATGTCTGGGCGATGATCTTAGAGTTTCTGTAGAACCTATTGGTGTGAAACCGCTCTTAACCGTGCAGGCGGCGCAGACCTTGGTTTTTGCGGAAGTCTGAAGTCCGCGAGAAACTTCCGGGCCAGAGTTGGCCCTGCCCGCCACAAGCGGGGGCAGGGAGAAGCCATTTTTCCAGTCATGCTGAAACGAAGTGCACCAGGACAGTTCAAGTACATGCATGGAATGCTGCCCGCGTGGAACGCACACACACACACACACACACACACACCCACGCGTTCCTACATGACTGGCCCGTCCGAGTTTGCTTGAGCCAATGCCTTCCTTGTCACAAGTTTCGAAGACTGAAATACACTGCAAGGTAGCTCCAATGAACCTTCCTCGCATTCTCTCTCCGACTAGACTATCCGGCCAGCTTGGCCGAAGATGACTTTGCTTTCGCCGTCGAAGGTATATGGCAACCAGCAGACACCACAGCTTTCTTATACCTCTTCACTGGCGGTTCAGAAGAGGCCGAGGTCGAAGAGATTTTGCCACACACAGTTGGCCATGCAACAGCTGGGGAACAGCTCGGGCATAGGCATGGTTTCATGAAGAAAAACTATGAAGCCCTTACATACTGTCCCGGTTCCTTTGCTCTGAGAAGTGTGCAGAGGTAGGATGTCGTAGGCTAGCAAGCCTGCCCAGGATCTCATGGACCTGTGGGCATGCTTGTCCAGTTACCAGTTTCACTCAGGTCCTTGTCCTGGCAAGCTAGGCGGGCTAAGAGTCTAGTGGTGCACGAAGAGTGCCAGGTTTCACTGAAGAAAGCCCCAAACGCAACGGGGTCCATTTCGCAGCGCAGGGAATTCTTCCCAAGCCACCTCAGCTTGCGGAAGCCTTGCCGCAAACTCGACTGCAGCAGCAGGAACAGCAGTCGTTGGGGAGCGGTTTAGATGGGTCATGTTAGCTGCAACCTACAGCCACTGCGGCTGCAGTCTTCACCGTTTCTGCTAATCTTCACTGCCATGGTGGCTGCTAGGAACGGCACTCAGTGGGTCGAAGCTCGAGACGGTGACAGTTTCAATCCGCCTTCTCCACCATTCAGACTACAGCCTCCAAGGCAAAGATCGTAGGCTAGCACGACTGATTTTGGCAAAGTACCAGCCGCAAAGAAGAGCGCGTTAGGTTCTGTTTTAGGGGCCTCCCTGGTGGCCGTGCAGATCGCATAGTCATCGCAGTTCGGGGTTTCTTACGAGGTCTGCACAAGTGTTCCGTTACCATTGGTCGTTTATTGCTTTTCGAACATATGCACACATATATATATATATAAGAAAACACAGTAATAAAGAACATAGTTTACAACTAGTAAAATTTTAAGATATATATCTTACATATATATATATATAAACATATATATATATATATACACACGGTGAATCCTGAAGCCGTAGCTGTTCACCAGCCGGAGTTTGGAGATGGAGACACTCCCAAGCGGCGCCAAGCCCCCAACATCTCCAGCTAGCTTCTGTTTGATTGTCCCAAATGGTGCACCTTGAATTGAAGTCTAGGACATTTTCAGGTGGGTATACCTCATAGAAGCCTTATTATAGAAGCCCTATATACCCTAAACTCCCCACCTGTAGTTTCCGTTAATGAAGCTTCTGAGTCCCAAACGCTGAAGCCATCGGTAGCATTGCCAGATGGCAGCCGCTCAAGGCTATCTCGGCTCGAAGCGTCCATCATGGCATGATGTGGACCACCACAAACGCATGCACCGTCGCAGCCGCGTGCCGCTTTCGGCATCTGCGTTGACTCGTTTCCTGGTGCCGGAGGCCTCGGCAGCACCGGAGCCGCTGCAGTACATTGTCTTGTGTAACCGTCACGTTCGAGGTATCAGCAAGATGAAGGATCACATTGCCGCCTCAACACATGCCACTAGAACCGTGTCTTTGCTTTCAAACCCGAGTACCATCCAAGAAACCAAAAAAGTCGAGCTTGGATGAACAAGGCACCCCACAGCCCCACCAGGCCTGCGCCAGCCATCTGCTGGCGGAGTGCCACTGGGGCCTTTCTTGACGACAGAGGGTTAAAAGGGTTTTTGGGTCATGACTTGTTAGGGGCAGAGTGCGGAATCGATTCAACCAGGCAAATTGCGTAAATTGCGTAAGAGATGTTTACCTGTAGACACTGCGGGCATAAACTTAAGTTCTTGGGATCGTGTAAATCTGACTTGTTTATCGTGTACTAATCTAGCTTGTGGGTGTTTATGCTTTAATTACGGTTTGGTCGGTGCCGGGGTCCAGGTCGACATCAAGTTTAGCTGGTACATCGCACGTATTTCCAGCTCTGATGCCCGCATAGTTGGCTAGGGAGCTAGGTGAAGAGGCAGAAGCGACACGAGGGCCAAAAAATTCCGGGGCATTCCCAGGCTGACATAAACATGGACATTCCCAGGCTGGTAAAGAAAAGATATCCCGAGCCCTGGGTGGCTCGACAGACGATTACAAATCGAACAACAAATGACAAAAATAGATTCAACGATACGATAAAACTATGTATAATATGCACGATAAAAAGATAATAAAAAAACAACTAAAGACTAAAGATGCGGTAAAAAAATCGAAGTTTTCTTGCCTCCAGAGGTCGCGCCCGAATTCTTGGCTCGACCTGCATTCAAGGCCTGAGCAGGCAGCTGGCAGCGATTATACCTGATGTTGGAAAAGAACATGAACCCAAATGACAAACGAGCAGCTGGTTTAGGGTTTCGGGATAAGTCATGGTCAAAAACGGCATCTCTCGAGAGAGTAAACGGTCAAACCACCGCCATCCACCGCCAGGTTGGTTTCCAATCTGCGCAGGCCAAGCAATCTCTCAAACCTAGGCCCACCAACACTTAACCTTATGCTTCTTCTTTTCACTAGTGCTATGATTATGATTGTTATTGGTGAGGGTTTGATTACTGGTGTTAGTGTGTATATATATATATA